CTCACACGCACATAGAGACACTTCTGATGGAAACTTTTCCATTCGATAGCAAAATTAAAGCATAACAGTTTCATAATTTGTAGGAATCTATCATGTAAGATGTCCAATTTTAAATTTTTCCAAAGTTATTTCGTATCATCATATGATCATCTTATGAAACTTCCAATGCTCTCTTTATCTACATGGACGCAATGATTTGCATATTTGTACATTAGTGTTCTCGACCAATAGCTTAGATGTGAGTAGAATAAGCATTCTCTCGATCTTTGACCTTCACACATTCCTTCAGGTGTGTGCTAACACGTATGCACCATTAATGTGCTTTTTATGCCCTTAAGTGTGAAGTCTGATTACATTCAACAATGACCTTTTGTGTACTTGTATTGTCTGAGAATAATTGCTGTCTATGTTTATAATTTACTCACATGCAAATCATATAGAAATCTTTAGCTGAAGTAAATTGGAATTATAGTTTTTCTTTAAATTATTATGTCGAAAACAAATTAAAGATTTTCTGAACAGAAAGTTATTTGTTCTTTTTTCGTTGGATTGTGGTTTTGATACTGATATATTGCTTTGCTTTCTGTAGTTTCCAAGAACTCAGCAGTGAATATAGAGACGTTTAATTTGTTCTAAATTCATGACTACATGTCTTGCATAGGGTCTTGGTAAAGAAACTAAATATTTATGCAACTGATACATGTAATTGTAAATTCCATGAGCACGAGATGGTGAAACTAATTCACCAAGTTTCAACTTTGAGGCGATTTCAAGCAATTGAATGGCAATTTGCTATAATGTTTTGATGCAATTTTCATCAAGACACTTATGTATGATCCCCTTTAATGCTAAATGCGGCCTAGATTTGGAAGTTGGTGCATTCAATGTTTATGTCATCTTCAGCGTACTTGTAGGGGTCTCAATCTTCAATTTTTGTTTTTTGTTTTTTATTTTTTTTAAGTTTATTATATATACACACATAAGTGTGTGTACCTATGTCTATAATTGCTGCCCTTGGCTTAGCTTCTATCTAATATGAATTTTCAAATTGGACAGACATAAGGCCTTACCTCAATAAGTAGAAGATGGCGAGCTAGGTTGAAGTTCATTATCTCTTTAGCAGGACATCAACACCGAATCATCTATGCACCATCCTTTTTTAAAAAAGAAGACGTTAAAACTCGAAGTCCACAAAATAAGCTTTCGATCAAATCTCAAATATTATTTGTCACCTATCATCATTTCAGGTGCTTAAATTTAATGTAACTAGTGTTTTAACACACATAAGTTTCTTTTTTAATATCTATGCTATTACATAGCCAATTATACCATGGCACGTGCATCTCACTAGTTTTGTTGATAAGAGTGAAATACGAACTACTTCCATAGTCAGCAGTAGAGACGAGACATTGGTTGACTAGTTGAGTTATGTATGAGTACAACATTTCAACTCTTAGAGCATTTCCAATGATGGTATAAAATTAAGTGTAAATTAACTTCTTCAAACCCAGTTTTACATTCTCATTTATATCTCAATGGATCTAAATTCAAATTTTGCTCCAATAATAATATCTAAATCTACTTTTCGTATCTTGTTTTACCTTTATTGTCAAAAAATAAAATTTACATTTCTTTTGCATATCTCAATTGAAAAGATTTTCTACCACTTCAGAGATTTATAAGATCTATTTTGCACCATGATTGAAGACGCTCTTGGAATTTTGTGAAAATGGATAGATTTTTCTCAAAATCAACAATTTTGACTAGTTCTTTAACAAGACGTCTAAGAGTGTAACTCAACTCGATTTCATGGTTGATTTGATTATTTTCAATCTACATTTATTAACTATGTTTTGAACAATAAAATGTGTATCAACATATTGGGCGATGTGATATTTATCATTTCTCATTCTAATTGAGCCCCTATTTGTCTTCATTTAAAATAAAACTCTTTAATTCTCAAATTCATTTTCAACAACACATTCACATACTAAAATAATTTGCTTATAAACCAATTTTTTTTTTCACTTTTTAAAAACACATTCTCCAAAATATAACTATTCAAAACATCATTTTTTCCCTCAGTAATGACCATCAAACAGGGGCTTAATGTCCAGCTTAATAGTTTTATACTTGAGTTTTCTTAAGTAGCAATTCCATGACTGCTTGAACTGAGTTTTACAAAGTTGCATTTCGCAAGATTATATGTTAATGCAGCCAACAATCATGCCTTCAAATGCACGATCTCAAGCTAAGAAATTATGGGGTGAGTATGAACAGAATATTTGAATTACCTGTAAAAGGCTGGGGGAGTTTTTACAAGCAGGGTTAGGAAACTCAAACGCCAAAGAGTGTAACACTACTCGATTCCATGGTTGTTTTGATTATTTTTAGTCAACACTTTTAATAACTATGTATAAATGTGAAAAATATTTTCGAATTGTAGAATATGCATCGATATATTGGGCAATGTGATATACATCATATATCTCATTTTAATTTAATTTACAGCTTATACTTGACTTTTCATAAGTAGCAACTTCGTGATTACTTGAATTGAGTTTTACAAAATTCCAATTCGCAAGATTATATGTTAATGCAACCAACAATCGTACCTACAAATGCTCGATCTTGAGCCAAGAAAATATAGGGTGAGCACAAACAAAATATTTGTATCACCTATAAAAGATAGGGAAGTGGTTACTAATGCTTAATTTAGAAAACAATTGGACAAAATATTTGCGTGTAAAGTTAATTGGTTGATGAAAAATAAAAATTATATTTAAGAAATTCTTTAAAATAGAATTATCAGTATGCAAACACAATAAACTAATAAAAATTGAAAATACAAAAATCTTTAAAAAAAAAACATATAAATAGCATAAAGCTTATCACTTACATTTATTTATCATATAAATATATCACAAACATTACTCTCTCTCTCCCCAAGTAATTTGACCATTTATCTTCCAAACATTCATTTTCTTTTCCTAAGCAAACAAAAATTTCGCTTTGTCTCTTCAAATTTCACGTCTAACAGTAACCCATCATTATTTTTTTTCAACCAAACAAAAAATGAATTATCTCATGTGGAATTAAAATTTTGAAAATTTAATTTAACAGATTGGTCTAGCATCAGCCTTACAAGTATTTCAATTTATCCTTAATCTTGAAAACATTTATTACCAAGTTTTATAGGATGTTAGTATTATTTTGCTTTAGTTTTACTATTATTGTTTTGCTTTAATCTCATGATAATAACCTTTTAAATGCTTGTTAAAAGTACTTTAAATTTAATAATTCTTTATCAGTGTTCACACTTCTTAGTTTTAAGTTAATTTAGAATGAATTAATATGAAATTAGGAGCTCATTTGTATTTGTATTTGATAGTCATTTTCATTATTTTGTTATACAATATCTTGTAATCAACATTTTTTTGATTTTGTACATAAATCACTTAAATGCACATTCAATTTTGTTTTAAGTAGCTACAATAAGAAAATGATTAAAGAAACAAACAGACCCCTTTGCCATTACATTATAATTTAGTATACCAAACTTCACTTATAATTTGTATTGGATGTTGACTTTTGACATTTCTTTATTTTCCTTATCAAATTTTGGGATTTAGTTGTCTGTATTAGATTTTTCATGATTATATTAAAACTCTCTATAGGAAAGTTCAATTAAGAATACGATAATTTTTCTTCAATAGGGCACCATATTTAAAGTTGGCATAAGGCCCCCAAAATATCAAGACCGGCTTTAGGTTTATATGTAGAATATTTTATTGTGTACATATGTGATTAAAAATGAGTATGTTTATTTTTTATTCTTAATTATTTAATGAGGGCATGTCACGTCACTTCACTTCGAAGGTCAAATTGGACAAATTCTATTAACATGTAAAAATCATGCCTCTTTCCTTAAACCTTGGGATGTCTATTGCTATTTTTAAAGGTTGGAAGTAGATTTACTCATTTACAACGTTTTTGAAAGGTTGAGGACCAATTATACAATTTTACCTTCTAAAAGAATTTAGAGCCCGTTTGTTCCACATTTTTTCAACAAAAATGCATTTTAAACATCACATCATGGATCCTACCTTAAAGTGTTGAAGTCAAAAATTGTAGGTTGATTTGATGGAAAAAATGTATTATTTTCCCAAATAATGTGCACCAAACGGGGGCTTAGTTGTGTTCAAAATTCGAGTGTCTATTACCTTTTGAGGGAAGCCATAGAAAACTATAATGAACATTTGATGAGACGGATATGGAAATATCAAAAAAATATTAAAAGTGAAGAAGAAACTATAATCTCGTTCACTATATTTTTCAATTTATTTAAATATTGTACATCAAACATGTCTCAAAAGTTATAGTTTTTTCTAGAGCCAACATTTCGATCATTTAATCGGTGAAATAACAAGAGCAAAGGTTTCTTAGCACTTAACACACTTATCATGTGGAACATGAAGCATATATTTATAGAGAAAAAAGTCCTCTTTAACATTGTTGTTTAACGAAATCAAGTCGTACAACCTTAAAGCAATATGTAAAATCGCAAAACTAATATATCAACATTAAAATCGCAAAGTAATTTGATTTTGAAGTTGTGTAATGATGTCTTCATTTGTAAAAATCAACTTTAAAACTTAAAAGAATTTATTAGAACATTTCTAAGAGATTGAACATCTTGTACATAATAGAGAGCATTTTTAAATACGAAATTCTCGACGTATTACAACAAATTCTCTATCTTTAGCTTTTTAATTTACTTTCTTCGAAAAATATTTATTTCTTTTCCTCATTCCCCAAAAGACATTTAAAATCCAGTTTTAATTTTCTTTATACAAAACAAGTTTTGGTCTAAAAGAAAGATTGTATTTGACTACAAAAATATTCAGTGCATTGCACACGATAATTCAAAATTTAACTAATCATATATGCAAAATAAAAATGAAATTGAAAACTAAACAGCAGCAAAGGCAGGCACTCCTCCACCAAGACATTCATAATCACTGATTTTATATTTCTACTTTTCACAATCTCCTTTTACAATATAAGTTGTTTTTTCCCTAGTAGAAAGTTTACAGGGCAGTTCTAAAAAAGAAAAAAGATTTTCATACGATTTTCTACATACAGCCCCAAAACTATTAAGTACCGTCTTATATTTTCGATTTTTGTCTAAGCTTAGGTTGACCGGGAATTCTCCTCAACTCAAACATAAAAACCAGCTTCCCATGAGGCCCTGTTTCTTGCCAATACCTATTCACTGTGTACAAGCCATCATAAACATACATTGTGACTAGCTTACCTGAACGATTTGTTTCTTTCCATCCTCGGATAACACGAACGGGATTCATCGTTGATATACTATTCTTTAAGGCCAAATTTCCTCTCTCGAGCTTCTGATCTTCAGGTTGCTTATTCTTCCCAACTATGTTTCCCCCATGTCCAGAGTATATCATTACCTCAGCATTATGCTTATCACCAGAATAAACCCCAGCATCAACAATACTATTTGCAACTGATATTCCATTGTGCTTCATTGAATCTATACCAGTCTGGTATAAGCGGTGAATGCCAACAATAGCAAGCTCGACTCTGTATTGAAATTCATCTCCCACTTCAACTCCTGGTACTTCTCCCAAAATTGGCCTGCCTGTGTTAACTTCCCTTTTTGCTGCTTTGATAATTTTTGCTGCTTGAAGATCAATCCTCTTTAATTGATTCTCGGACTTTGTTTCATCTTGAGAGTACTGTCTGCAAATAGAACGAAACAATCGAAGAGTCTCTATCACTCTATTACGGGCATCACCATGACTAGAATGTTCAGTAGCGCTAACATAAAAATTATGTGTTGCATAACTGGCACGAGAATTTGAGGGTGGATTTTCATAAAGAGCACAATGACATTTTTTATCCCTGAGGATCAATGCACCCAGATTTCCAGTAAGAACAGGGATTGCTTTCTTCTTCATGGATGGTCCCCCTGAAATGTCTCTCTCAACTTTACTTCTTTTGGCAAAAGCTTTGTATTCGAGTTGCCATGATAAAGGCCTCCTCCTCACATTTTCTCCAATTTTTCCTCTACTTGTTTTGGTTGCTTCTGTTCTGACTTCATCCTTTTCAACTCCACCCACAGATTGGGTTTCAGATATTTTCCGTGTCTCCATCAATTCCCCTCTTTCCAGATTTTTCCATGTCCGAGTCCCATCCGTTTCAACTTTAAAAATTTTAACGCCATCGACACAACCATTTCCACGACTAATCATCTGCCGTCCTTCTTTGGTAGGTTGAGGAGCATTTGGGCCACAGGATGGAGGAATATCACAAACAGCAGACACTCTTCTACGATGGAATTTATCCTTATGCCCAACAGAAGTTCCCTGCTTAACACTGTCATTAAAAATTGGCTCTTTGGGAGATGACAACAATTGAGAACCACCAATTACCATGACAGGTTTCACCTCCTCTGAACCTATATATTTAACCAAAGCCAAATCTTTCGCCCCATTTAACCCCTTCATATTCTGACCTTCAGCTTCTATCACTTCCTTCATTGAAATATTTTTGAAGTCATTATGCAATCCTGCATTTGCCTCCATACTGTTGGCTATTTCAGAATTTTGAAACCTATTTGACTCCATATCAGCTGTTGCAAAATTCTCAACACCATTAGTCCCTTTGGAAGTTATTATACCGCCAGCCTCCACAACACCGGTCCCAACATGGTCATTTTTTGCAAACTTCAAATCCACTGGCTTAGCACTGGGGCCACACCCAGGTGGGAAATCTCGAACTGCAGAGACTTTCCTGGGCTTGAACTTGGGCAAAGAACCAATTTCCAATGACGATAATCCTCTATTCGACATGACACCCTTATCTGTAATCAATAGCCAAAATTCCTTCAAGCCTAAATAAAACAAAATTATTGACAGAGACAGCAAACAGTAGAATTAGGTTCAAAATTGAAAATTATTCTTTTTCGATTGGGCTGAAGTGTCAAATTAAGGCAGACAAATACATGGACGCATATTCAGATATTTATATAGTAGATGAAAGAATTAGTAAATGCGAAATCGAAATCGCTAACCATAGTGAAGACAAATTAACGCTAAAAAAGACAAGAAACAAACAAAAAACAAAGACACGACCAGTGGTAGCAGGCAGATACACCAATGCATCAGACATTTATATTGGAGATGCAAGCATTAATAAATGCAAAATCGAAATCACTAACCATGGTAGAGAAAAATTCGGACTCAAAAAGGAAAAGAAACATATAATACAAAACATAAGAATCGTGGCAGCGGGGGCAAAACTTAAACTACCAAAAAAATTTCAAACTTTTCAAGGAACAAGCGATCGCCTCTCTCATTACTAACTGATCCTCCAATCTACCCCCCTCTTGTTCGATTAACTAATGTTATTCTTAGATCTTATTCGTGATAAATAACATAATTATATCATTCAACAATTTTGGAGTGGCTAAAACATATTCAAACAACAAACATGGGGCTGGAAATTTAATTAGCATGCCATGCACTTCAAACAGCATTAATAGTACAAACATTACACAGATTACATGATTAATCCCACGAATTAACAAAATCCAGTCATTAACCAAGTTTCCAGGAATTAAACACCACTAAGCCATAACCATATTCGGAAGAACCAAATTTCAAGAATCAACCTACTTTACATAAGCATTTCCAAGAATAAACAACCAATAAGCCCATTAAACAATTTTGAAGGAAACTAATTCCATGCGTGCACAAATTCATACTCAAAGTATAAATAAAACACACACCCATACACACCCACACACCCACCCACCCACGCACGCACACACTCTACATGATACGGGAGGTGCTTAACTGATCTGACTGAAGACTTGAAAAAAAGAACTTCCACCGGTGGATCCCCGACGAACTGCACGAAAAGAGCATGTATTTCACAAAATAATTCAGGGAAAAACAAATAAACCACATAAAATTTTCAAAAAAATAAAAGTAAAAAAAGAGCAAAATGGATATACCAAAAACCGCTCAATGATAAATCAAAACCGCCGACCGCAAGTTCAATTAAAACACATATACACAATGTTTATTAGAATGTAAGTATAGGTGCATGTATATATGGAAAATGAAAATGAAAATGAAACACCCATAATTTTTTGTAACGGTAGCGATAGAGAGTGAGAGAGCGTGTGATTCTGTCAGAAAACGGAGTAAACAAAAGAGCATGCTCTCATGAATTCTGTTTGAGATATGGTCTATCGAGTCAAATCCTATGAACGTTACACCAGTCACTAAACTCATTTTTAATTATACATTCTTTTAATAAAATAATTTTTTCAAAAAAATTTGACTTCTTAATCTCTCACTCCTCAAAAAATAAAAAATATTATCACAAAATCTATGAGCCTTAGATCGATCACTCGATAGCGAGAACTGTTGAGAATTTTTTTGAAGGCAAAGCACTTCAAGATTAAGGAAAATGTTAAGTCACGTTGCCTAAAATGGACATGTATAGTGTACTTGGTATTTAAATAAGGAAAAAGTTTTACATCACGTTACCTAACACGCGTATTTACTTATTGTCTCTTATTAATTATTGAACTTTAATTTATTTTACTTTGCTTGCTTGACTTATATTTTCGTTTCGAATTTTCATGTAATCACCTAACTTATATTATTGTTCCGATTTTACTATTACATCTATAGATGGAATTTGCAACTTGGTCAATGAGTTATATGGCTCAAATCAACAATTCCATCCAGATGTTATACTTAAATTAAAATGAATACATTGTGAGTGATTAGATTGAAATCAATTAAAATTTCGATGACCAATATGGAATAAATTTTTTATGTCAAGTAAAATTTTAGACTACTAAATAAAATGATTTTTTTTCCCTTAAAGGAGAGAGATTTATTGATAGCTTATAAAAAGAGAATTTTGTTATTTGTACTACCGGAGATGACAACCCTAGCTGACAAAAAAGGGGCCCATAATTTTTTTATTTATCGTGGACCCTCCATGTGAGGGGTCGTCAACCCGATTATACAAATGACACCATCCATAAAAGGAAAGAAATTTAAAAGCAAATGATTTCCTAAAAAGGATCGTATGCAGATCCCAAGTGAGCCCACAATTCTTTATTACAACACTCTTTATTAGCCTCTATAAACAAATTTATACATGATTTATGAATCTTGCTAAAATCTTGAAGTTGGTCATAGATGTGAGGTAGTAGCGGAACCTCTTACATAGACGAGCTCATTGAAGAGGAAGATTTAAGCAACATTCAAGTCCGAGCATTGAAATTAAAGGTGGCAATGGAAAAGCTCCTTGTCGAAATCGGCTTCTAGCTACAATCTATTCCCTCTAGGCTCGAGGGGCCCTCGACATTGGGAAATCTTCCTTGTCATGCTTGTGGGAGACTTCATGACTCTATCATGCTTGTCATGTATCATTTTGTCCAATATGTGATAATATTGGTCATATCTAAAGTCGCTTAAAACCTGTGTGGAGTTGTTTGTAAACTATTTAAATTATAAATCAATAGAAAATGAGTGGTGGATAACTGAATAATATTTGCTAGTCTCAACGAATATATGGATGAAAAATAAATTGATCAATTATAAATAATTTATTAGTGATAGTCAAACAAGCTTTAACTTATCTCGGGATACAAAAATAGACATGTACGACTTCCTTGCTTCCTCTAAATAAGGAAAAAGTTTCACGTCACATTATATAACACGCGTTTTTGACTTTTATTTGTTTGTTGTTTATTACCGAACTTTAATTTATTTCAGTTTGCTCACTTTAATACATATGTACCCATTGCCAAAATGGATGGAATTTATGACTTTGTCAATGAAAAGGGACAACGTAATTTGTGGTAACGTAATTTGAAATGCTATTATTTAGCACCAAAAAATTTTGTGGTACTAAAAATATAAAATTAGATCGTGAATTATGTGGCTCAACTCATTCGATGGTTTTAGATGTGATTATTATATTGCAACTAATATAAGTATAGTATTCAGGTTGTGTTTGGTATACATAATTTTATGTATATAAGAGTATCCATACACTTATATGGGTGTGATCCAATTCAGTAAATGTTCCACCATGTGAAATCGAATTGGTCGTGCGGGATTCCAAGTGGACCACCCATATTTATTAGTCGTGTAAAACATGGAAACTCATAATTTAATAAATCAAACTTCATATTTTTAATTTTGAAATTTATTTATAGCTATAAATCAAAACTTCGTTGCATTATACGTTCCACTTATATACTAACCTTTAAGTCTACGGACTAAGCAACGATACACTTGACAAGATAATTGTACAGTATTAATTAGTACTTTGTACCCAAAAAAATCCATATTATTTAATATTGTACATCAAATTTGTCAATCCTCGTTGTAAAATAGCACAATCCATAAAGGGAAAGGAATTTAAATGCAAATGGTTTCCTAGAAAGATCGTGTGCGGATTCCAAGTGAGCTCACAATTCTTTATTACAACACTCTTTATTAGCCTCGATAAACAAATTTATACAGAGTTTATGAATCTTGCTAAAATCTTGAAGTTGGTCATAGATGTGAGGCAGTTGCTGAACCCCTTACACAAACGAGCTCATCGATGAGGAAGATTCGAGTAATATTCGAGTTCGAGCATTGAAATTAAAGGTGGTAATGGAAAAGCTCGTTGTCAAAATCGGTTTCTGACCACAATCTATTCCCCCTTGGCACGAGGGGCCCTCGACATTACCATTTTGTACAATACGTGAAAATATTGATCATATCTAAAGTCGCTTAAAAGATGTGTGGGAGTCGTTTGTAAACTATTTAAATTATAAATCAATAGAAATGAGTGGTGGATAATTGAATAATATTTGTTAGTCTCAACGAATATATGAATGAAAAATAAATTGATCAATTATAAATAATTTATTAGTGGTAGTCAAACAAGCTCTAACTTATATCGGGATATCAAAATAGACATGTACGACTTTCTTAGTTCCTCTAAATGAGGAAAAAGTTTCACGTCACATTATCTAACACGCGTTTTTTACTTAATTTTGTTTGTTGTTTGTCATCGAACTTTAATTTATTTCACTCTGCTCACTTTAATGCATATGTACACCTATTGCCAAAATGGATGGAATTTATGACCTTATCAATGAAAAGGGACAACATAATTTGTGGTGACATAATTTGAAATGCAATTATTTAGCACCAAAAAAATTTTGTGGTACTAAAAATATAAAATTAGATCGTGAATTATGTGACTCAAGTCATTCAATGGTTTCAGATGTGATTATTATATTGCAACTAGTATAAGTTAAGTGATCAAATTGTTTTATTGGAAAAAAAAAAAAAAAAAAAAAAAACTTAAACCCCAATCTTGAGAGCCCCCACGACCCCGTCCCTAGAGCTTTGTGAGGGAGATAAATCACGGGATGTGTCTCAGCAGGCCAGGGAATAAGAGTTGTCTGTACACTGTGCCTACAAGGAGTTCAATTCCATGTCTCAGAAATCGAACTCCCATATTTTGACTGTCGGCAAGACGTGAGATAAAATTAAAAATTAGATGACTAATATGAAATAAATCCTTTGATTTAAGTGAAAAATTCAGTAAAAGTTCCACCATGTGAAACCGAATTAGTCGTGCTGGGATTCCAAGTGGACCCATATTTCCATCATGGAGACTCGTAATTTAATAAATCAAACTTCAATAACGCTATAGGTATAGAAAATTTTAACAAAAATTTTGACAAACAATACATGGCTTGAAATCATTGGTAGATGGGAAAAACACGAAAAAAGGCGAATTAGGTTTCGCTACATCTGCATTTTTATGAATTCGGTACTTGAGGCTTTTTCTATCAAACTTTATATTTGAATTTTGAAATTTATAGCTATAAATCTAAACTCTGTTGCATTATAAGTTCCACTTATCTACTAGCTTTTAAGTCTGCGGGATAAGCAATGATACACTTGACAAGATAATTGTACAGTATTAAATAGTACTTTGCACCAAAAAGAATCCATATTATTTAGAATAATTCTCCCTGTCCCGAGTTGGGGACAGGGAGAAAGACAGGGGCACCACATGGCGCCCCTGTCCCTGACCCTGTCCCCAACCCGGGACAGGGAGCAAGGCTCTATTATTTAATATTGTACGTCAAATTTGTTCCAAGAGTTCTGAGTTATCTCCTATGACTAATCATTCTCGTGCTTTAAATTAATGAAAGACATTAAATAGAGCAAAAACAATCTATGTGTATATCGAACACAATCGCATTTTATAAAGACGAATCATTAATCGCCAAACTTCGAAGAATGTATTCGTTATAAACGAGGTACGTCAACACTAAAGTTATATTTCCTCGAATTTAAGGTATCAGGTAAGTGAGGCTTTAATTTGCAATGATCCATTGCTCAATCAAGAAAGTAGAAGCTAGTTAGGAAACCTAGTGGGCTTGTTGAAAGGTTGATCTAGTAAGCTATGTTGCCATAGATGCGAGACAGCTGCTAAGCTTATCGAGCTCATTGGCGAGGAAGATTTAGCCCTCGTTTGGCCCCTATTTTCTTTCTTATTTTCAACCATACAATTTTTTCATAAAATAATATTACACGTAAATCGAAAATTTTTAATTCTTTTTCAACCACACCTTCGAAAAAGAATATTCCAAACATTAAAATTTAGAAAAAAATGGGGGCTTAAATAATATCTAAACCCCGAGCATTGGAATTAAGGGTGACTATGGTTAAGTTCCCCGCCATGCAAATTCAATTTATTCTAAAAGTAAAAATCATAGCCCAAATTTTATCAAGTGATTATTTTTTATGACTTAATTGAATATACAAATTAATATATGGAGTATTTGTTAATTCAGAAATATACACAGTACATTGATGACGTGGTCTCAAATTTCAGATGTTCTTTGTCCTGGTAAAGTGTTCCAAGATCCAACTGATTCAGGCCCCTTCTCAACAAGAAATGCTAAAAATGCTCATCTAAGTGCATGTTAGCTAAGTTCAAAAGCTTAATAAGTTTACATGTCAAAATAAGTAACAGCATATAGTTTTAAGAAGAAAAGAATAAGCTATAAGCAAGTTTGATGTACTTTTAAGCTTTGAAAACATGCTCTAAACAACAATCAAGAACCCTGCAGCTTGCCTGCCATATTTCAGCTTCATTCACCACGAAATTTGATCAATCAATCCCCTTGCAATTTTTGTTTCTCCAGCAAATTATTTCTTTCCAGATTAACTCATAAATCTCCTCAATCCAAGAAAAGAATTCATTCACTGAAATTTGCTAGCAGAAAATTGATGCTGAAGAGTTTGTAATGATGAGAAAGATTTACCATTGGCATCATTTTTCTGGGACAAACACGTATTACTTGTTCACCATCTTTTTTGTTCTCTTCAGCATCTCCACTCCCCATCAGCTATCGGCTTCGACTGGCAGTCACTCTGCTGGCATTGACGATACTCCCGTTTATCAAAGACGACGAGTTTTGTCATACAATGGAGACTCTCTAGCAATCAACCCGTCCCTCAAATTTGAGAATCCAAGATTGGAGAATGCTTACATTGCATTACAATCTTGGAAAGAAGCCATAATCTCTGATCCAAAAAACATAACAGGCAACTGGATCGGACATAAAGTGTGTAACTATACTGGTGTGTTTTGTTGGCCTGCACCAGATGATCCCTCTCAACTTACGGTTGCTGGTATAGATATCAACCATGCTGACATTGCTGGGAACCTCCCACATGAATTGGGGCTGCTCTATGACATTACCCTGTTTCACATAAACTCTAACAGATTCTGTGGTGTGATTCCGCAGAGTTTCTTGAATCTGAGGCTCCTGTATGAGGTTGATCTTAGCAACAATCATTTTGCAGGCAAGTTTCCTGAAATTCTATTACAATTGCCAAGTTTAAAGTATCTGGACATTCGATTCAATGAATATGAAGGTGAAATTCCCAGGGAACTATTTGAAAGAGAATTTGATGCAATTTTCATCAATAACAATAGATTTTCTTCTGAATTGCCTGACAATATTGGCAAGTCAACAGTGTCTGTGATTGTTCTGGCTAACAATGAATTTCAAGGATGCCTGCCAGCGAGTTTAGGGAATATGGCAGGAAGATTAAATGAATTGGTTCTCACAAATAATGGGCTCAGTTCATGTTTTCCTAGTGAAATTGGAAAGCTAAAGAATTTGACTGTGTTGGATCTTAGCCATAACCAAATTATGGGTTCATTACCTGAAAGTATGAAGGATATGGTAAACTTGGAGCAGCTGAATTTGGCTCATAATATGTTGTCTGGGAAGATATCCAATGCGATATGTTCACTTCCAAAGTTAAAGAATTTCGGGTACGAGTACAATTTTTTCTCAGATGAAGTACCAGATTGTTTGAAGCTGCCTGAATTTAATGACAGAAGGAATTGTTTTAGAGGGAGACCAGAGCAGAGATCCATGTTGCAGTGTCAGAGGTTCTTGTCTAGGAGGATTAATTGTGGCAGTTTTGAATGTGCTACCTTTCCTCCACCACCACCGATTTATTCCCCTCCTTCCCCCTCACCACCATCAGCAGCTTCACCTCCACCTCCTCCGCAGATACCTTCCCCACCACCTCCTTCCTCAGCCCCACCATCTTTGGCACCCCCACCACTACTCTCTTCTCCACCTCCACCCCTGATTTCACCGGCTCCACCTTCACCAACTCCACACAATAACAGTTCACCACCTCCTCCACCAACACCTCCACTGCCACCGCCTATCTTCTCTCCACCTCCCCCATCCCCAACACCGCCATGTCCATGCATGCAACCTCCAGCACCATCATTGCCCTCATCGTGCATGGGACAAATGCAGACACCACCAATCCAATAGTTTCCATTCCTCCATCTCTTTAGTGCACATCAAACAAATAAAAAGACGAGATCTCTTTTGAAGAATTGAAATTATTGGCCTCGGTTTGATGTCGTTCAAGGGCTTACCAAGAATCTAACTCTTCAAACAAAACAAAAAAGGAAATCTACTGGCATCAATCTTGCAGTCAGTGATGTGATTTCAACAGGGGAATTCACTGCTGCAGGTGCATGGATGGAAAGGTTATAAACCAATATAACATAAGCAATGATGTTTAATGTTGAGTGCAAAAGGGGTCAGATTTCACAGTTACAATATCTTTCAAATCATTCAAAGCAGTTCTCTTTCTTGATTAGTGCAATTATATCTTTCAAATAATTTGCATTACTTTTCCTGATTGGTGGTGGGATGTCACCATAGTACATTAAGAGTGATTCATGTCACTTAAATATGCAAATAACAATCAGCTTGGCTATTTCGTCTGATCCAAGTATCCGAGTCCAAAAAACTCAATGTGTGGAATAGAAAATATATCAAACACTTGAACTGCAATTGTATATTTCTGCTAAATCAAACAAGCCTAGTAGAAAAAGGGAAAATTATAAACATCTCTGCAGGGAAACTAAAACCCAATATTCCATCACAATCAAATGTTTTTTGGTTCAAGCGTATATACATATCAAATAAAGTCAGCCGATTGAAATAAAATAGTGAGAACATTCTATATCAATATGAAATACCTGTTAGAAGATTAGTGTGGACCTGTGTATGAATTAGCATTGAAATTTGAAACATTTGTCTTCATAATATTTTGCTGCGTCAAGTGACGGATGGGAATTTTTGTAAGAAGCCTATTCTGATGGACGTTAGGGAAATATGGCCCTGTTTATTTAATGCAAAAACGTATTCTATTTGCTAAAAATTCAATCGTAACCTTTTAATGATAAACGCTTCTCCCTCACCTTTCCACCCTTTGGACTTTACCAACATTGATCCACGCTCGAGCATGATTTCCGGCACTTTAAATACAAAATATTCTTTATTTTTAAGTGTTAATGTTTAAAAGTAACGTCTAAGGGACTCAATTTTAACTTTTTAAGATAAATCAGAGGCCTTTTTCTTTTTCTTTTTTGATATTTTCAAGAAATGTTGACTGATTTCTCATCTCATTTTAATTTAACGTAACTTTTTAAATGGCTAAGGGGCTGTCTGGCACAGCTTATAAGTAATTTTCTGACCGTTGCTAAGGGATTTTCTGACTGTTAGGGCCGTAACTTTTGACTGTCCATCTCTATGGTGGGACCCGTCTTTTGACTCAACGGTCAAAAAAATGCTGAAAATTCAGTGGAAAATCTGTGCCAGACAGTCACTAATCAATATGTGACAGCTTGAATCCAATTATTGAATATTAAAAATAGAGAGTATGTTTGACTCTTTAAATTTAGATAACCAAATCCATTCTCTATTTTAAAAGGTTAAAAATAAAGTTTCTTGTAGCTTATTTTTAGGCATTACAACATATTTAAGAAAATATTTGGAGAGCCAACCACATTCTTTATATTAAATACATTCGAAATATTTGAATATTCAGTGGAGAAAAATAATAATAATTGGAAGAGAAGTTAGTAAAATCAAAAAAGGGAAAAAATTGTTTTTTGGGAGTTAAAAAATTAAATGTTAAATATAAAGAGCATATTAGAGTACCCGCAAATTTTTAGTCTCTAAATTTACAACAATACTACATGTATATCATGATTGTTAGTTATATTGACACTCTTCCATGTAGCAACAATCTACTCAATTGATTATAAACATATCCATCGATAGGTGGAGGGATGTTAACCAAGGACGTACATTTAACTTAATTCCTAAATTTATACATACTCTCAAAATTATAAAATATGTTTTTTTTATAAATAGAGAAATTCTTGGAAATGCTCAACTCTATAAAATAAATTACATTTTGTATTTAATGAATACCTTGTAAATGTTCTTGAAGAGTCAAATATACTCCTATTCTTAGTGTACGATGATAGCATTTAATAAATAGGGTTGGCAACATGGTGGGTTTAAGGCGAGGCAGGGGCAGACACAGAGATTCTTAGTTAGGGGGGCACAATCAAAATCTTTACAAATCGAATTCTTTGTTCTAGATTTTTAAATGATTTATAATTGGCCGAGAAAATGCAGATTTACATTTAAAAAATATTTTTTTATTAATATTTTACTCATCATTTTCATTCATTTGATTTCCGAACAGTCATTTTATTAATATTTTGCTCATTATAAGAAAATATATATTTATATTTAAAAAATTATAATGTATTTAATACAAACAATCAAGTCAAGTTATCAAAAGGAAAAACATATAACCAATATTCAATTAAATAAATACAATTAGTTAAACATAAGTTAAATTGGATATAATCAGTTCAGTCACATTCTATAGACGCAAATATGATAGAAAAAATGCAAATTTAGATTGTAATTAAATGAAAATTTGATTGGAAGGTGAAAATTTATAGTAGATATGATAATTTATAGAAAAGTTATAGACAAATTTTAAAAAATTAGAAGGTTAATGTTTTGGTAAAAGGTGTGAGAGTGAGTGAAAAAAAAAAAAATTATTGTGATTCTGCCCCTGTTTGATGGAGGTTAAAATTAAATTTTTAGTATATTTTGACAAAATTTAGAAAGTTAAGAATTCCATGAAATATTTTGTTAAAATTAATTGTTAACTTTGATTTATATTAAAATATATATTTCAATTTATACCAAAAAGAATTTTATCCCAAAAATAAAAAATAAATCAAATTTCAAAAGTTTGGGGGGGGTCATGTGACCCCTCAGGTCCGCCGGGGCGAGGACTTGCCCCGTTTTCCCTTCTTTATTTTTTTATTTTTTTTTTATTATTTTTTTTTTTTACATAGTAAATTTTTGAATCTATAAATATGCGCGCACAAAAAAAATTTAAGAATTGAAAAAGAACAAATTTACATCCAGAATGTTTGCGAAAGGTCGCCATTTTTACCAAAAACAGTGTAGTGGACATGCAGAATAAACTTTTTCTTTTTCTTTTTTCCACTACAAACTTACAATAGAAATAAGAAAGAGAAAATTTATTTTAAAACTTTATTTGATTTTTAGAGAAAATAATAAAAAGAATAATCAAAGAAAATGGAAAAAATTATAACTAAATATTACTTTACTTAACATTTTTTTATTTTTGAATTTCTGATGAAATAGAAAAATGTGAATACAAAAGGATACAAAAGAATAACTAATAAAGAAAGAAAGACTGATCAAATTTTATTATTATTATTTTTACGGGGTGGATTTGGCGCGGATTTTTTTTGCCCCATTCAAGTCGAGGCAAGATGGATTTTTTTGGTCATCTCTATTAATAAATGACAAATTTCAATACTCCTTAAACAATTCAAAATGTACAATATAAAAAATTATGTTAAATAAATTATGAAAAGAAACTGATAAATATTTTTTGAGAAAAGTCAAATGAAAAGCCACTATAGGGAGTATTGTTGGAGAATATAAAATTTTGACTCTCTAAATTTATATATGTTCTTCAGATAATAGAATATGTTTTTTATAAATATTCTCTTACTTTTTATATTTAACACTTAATTTTACCATTCCCAAAAAATATTTATTATTTTTCTCTATGTTTTGTTTTAGCTAGCTTTTCTTTGTATTATTTTATTATTTTTCTACATTGAAAATTAAAATATTTTGAATGCATTTAATTATAGAGAATGAGTTTGTCTCTCCAAATTTAGAGAGTAATTTGGAGAGCTGGACACACTTTCTAAAATGAAATGTTAATTTAAATTGTCTATTGGAGTGTGATTTTAAAGGTTGACTATTTAAAATAGATATCATTTCATGTTTAAAATGTCTCTTGAAGATACTCTAATACTTTATAATAAGTTTTAAAATTATTTTCAAGAGACTCTTTATTATAAAAAGCATATTATGTATTATAGAAAGTATATTTAAATTTAGAGAGTTAAATTTTTTATAAACTCTAATAAACTCCCTATTTTGGCTCTTTATTTTCTTTTCTCAAAAAATATTTATTGATTTTTCTTCTTATTTTATTTAACATAATTTTTTATGTGTAAATTGGCCAATCAATTTAAATGTTATTTGAATATTTTAAGAAATAGAATATTAAAATAATTAATTTATTAAATGCAATTATTATGCTTTAAGAATAAAAGTGAGTTTGATTCTCTAAATTTGAAGGGCTAAACATGCTCTCTATTTAAAAAAAAATTAAAATAGAACGTTAATTTGACTCTTTATAGTAAAGAATATTTTGTATTTAAAGTGAATTTCACTCTCTATTCTTGATGTACAATCATTATATTTAATAAGTCACATGTTTCAATACTATAGTTTTTACACTACTCAAAACACATTTATTAATTCACCATTGACATATAAAAAATTAAGTTAAATGAAAGCATGAAAAGAAATCAATAAATGTTTCTTGAGGAAAGCAAAATAAAAAGTCAAGATAAAGATCATTATTAGAGTGCCTAAAAATTTGACTCTCTATAATGTGTAAGATGTTATTTTACAAAATAAAGACTTTTTTTTCAAAATAATCTAATGGGTATTATAGAAATAAGGTCATTTTTATTACTTTATGCAAAACGGTTTTTTTTTTTTTTGTTTAAAAGGTCAATTCTAACTTTATTGAAAACCGCTTCTAACCCTTGCTCTCAACCTTGACCGTCGTGTGCACATCATGCATGATTGGGGCAGTTAACATTTTTGCTCGAAGTACGTAGATATCATAACAAAAATGGCATAATTTTGGCATGGAGCACTGACGAGTGTGTTTTTACTCACAAGTTATACGCAATTTTAGTTTGATTAATTGCTAGATATTATGAGCATAGAACGTTTTTTATGTGTTTTCTAGTATTGTTTTAAAAATAATGAGATGTGATGTAAAAAAGTTGTTAAAGTGAATAAATAACCCAAGGACAAATTTCAGAATAGCAAGTCAGTGCTTAGGTGTCGAAAACCAAGCACCAAGGCCTTACAAATAACAATAATAGCAGTTTTGGATAGAGGCAGCTCCTGAGCACTGCACTCAGTGCCCAGGCGTTGCTTGCATAGCACTTAGGCGCTACCCTATATTTCATCAAGCGTCGCACTGCCTATTTTAGGATTACACTGTTTTGGCATGTAAAAAGCCTATGAAAACTCCAAACTGGGGAAAGACGTGAAAGAGAGTATAAATAAAGAAATTGAGGATATCAAACGGATTTCCACACATTGAAATAGAGAAAACACAACTTGAAAATTAGAGAGCAGATTCAAGAGGAGAAAAACAACAATTTAAGCGTTTGAAATCAAGATTTGGAACGAGAAAAAAAACTTGGTGCAAGATTTATCAACTTCTCTACATCTTAATTCCAAACCAGGTGACGTACTCCATTATTGTTATTTGTTTTTCTTTATCTATCACGAGTTGCTTAACCTTATATTATGACGAACAATGTAATCTACTTGAAACTTTTTATTTCTTTGATTTAAAGATTTTTGATCTTTTATATTTTATGTATTGATTTTGTTATGAGTTTAATGTATTAAATTATTTGATCATTAATTTGATGATTTTGTGAATCTTTTACGAATTGAGAGATAAGTTTGAGATTTAGGCCATATAGTAAAATTCGAAAAATTAGTATAACGTATAGAGATACATATACTAATTATTGCGATCATTATATGAATTCTTAGAACTAGTATTTTGTTTAACTAAAGTTTATTCGCATAGAAATATGGGATTGAAATAGTTAAACAGGCTCAATGAAAATTCGAGATGGGTAAATTAAATACAATAGAAGAATTTGATTGAACACTACATTAAATTTATGAATCTTGAATTCAGAGTTAAAGGTGATTAATAGATGAAATTTTTATATCCTAATATCCGTTTACTATCTAAATTCAAAATCAATCTGTGTGTATCTACATTATTTCAAGTATTTAAATTAAAAATCACAATATATAATTCTTTGTTTTCTATCATCAAATAGTGGTTTAAAAATTTAGATTAAGTGCTAAAATATAGTTCTCGTGGAA